CCCCCCCGGTAAGAAGTGAACCTCCGTCGTAGGACTAAAAAACCCAGAGTTAACCCTGAAGTTACCTCGCTGACCCCAAATCCTGCTTTGCAGCACAGGCCCCAGGTCCAGTCCCCCTGTAGGACTACAAGCAGCCGTTCATACCTCCGACAGTTTCGACACCGTCCCCGGCAGCAGCGGCCGGCTGAACTTCTTCTGTGAGCCGATGGCTGCTGGGAAAGGAGGAGCCGAGAATATGGCGGCCACCGTGTTGATCCGCGTGATCCAAGACTGCATCTGCTCCGCGTTCCTGTACGGATAACACACAAAACAATATCATAAACAGATCTGAAACACACTTATCAGCTCCTCTCACACGCTCACATCACAACGCGGCTACAAACATCAGCATCAAAGGCATCATTATCGGAGAAAACGCAAAGAAATTATTCCGGAGCCAATTAACGCATGACAGAAAAAAAGGGGGCCTGTTTTACACTAACGGACCCATTAGGGGCCCATGAGAAATATCAGGTTGAATCAGACAGCCTTGCTTAAATCCCTGCGGACAGACGGACAGAGAGAGAGAGAGAGAGATGGAGAGACAAAGAGGACAGAGAGACACAGAGAGGGGTACAGTATCTGGGACGAATGCAAGCTGCAACTGGAGCACAGAGCCCGTCCTCCTGGGGGGCCGAGACATGTGGCCACTCATGTGCCAGTTCCTGGATCCTGATAACACACACATGCTCACCTCCACCTTTCCTCCTACACATCCACCCTCACACATATATACGTACATACATATATGCATCCCATGTGTGTGTTTCATTGATCCGTGTGCTCATTTGCATGTGTTCTGCACAACACATATGCACATGAGCACAGCTGGCACAGCGTGTTGTTTGCTAAAGTCAGCCACAGCTACAGCACATGGTCCAAAAGTACGTGGACAGCTTGGTGCTACACCCGTGTGGGACTGTTGAGTAATTGATCTGCTGCTTCAAGGTGCAGCAGGTGAGATCTGGTAAGAGTTTTTAGTTTAAAACGTTCAAAAAATGGGTTTGTTTATTGGATTCATTAAAAAAAAGAACATTTAGAATTGTTGATGGTTTAATGACTTCAGAGGGTTTGAAATAAAAATAAATAAATAAATAGAGATCCGGATTGAATCTTAAGGTGCAGGTGTCCGTGTGCACAGCGGGTCTCTCCACGTTACTCACGGCGCCTGGAAGAGATACACCCTCCAGTCGGCGGTGCGCAGGTAGAAGACGTTGGGCCTCTTGCTGTAGTCCGAGGCCTTCATGGCCAGAGAGTGGTGGACGGACACGGCGTTCTTCAGGTCCTCCTCTGATAGCTGTTTTTCCTGCCGGTACTCCCCCTGGCACGGCAGTTATGAATAAGAAATGAACGCTCGGATTAACACCAAGGGGTCTGAACACTTATTACAGTTGGAGAGCTAACTAAGGACATGTTTTTATTGGAGGAGAGTTAAGGGCTGCATAAAAAACAGAAAAACACTGCATTGAAAGCATCCCTTCAGAAAAACAACCGACAGCCTCTGATCTAGAATCTGGACTGGAGAACATCAGATTAATCTGTATTAATCTATATTAATCTGTAACAATACCGAAACAATACCCTTTCTGATCGATGTCTTCACACCACACTGAATGTAAACATTTAAAAAAAGATTGCTTTTATTATAGAAATATAAAGCTCCCTGAACGAGTCTCTGAATCTCCATCGCTGATCAAACAATGACTCTAAATTTAAGGTACAGTGATACTGTTAAATAATCATAACAACAAATGATGTATTCAAAAGGTCCTCTAAAGTTACTATAAAGTGATTTATACTGGCTATTGTTTTAAATCCTTCCCTCATAGTCCTGGTACATTTTAGAAACTACAACAAATACCTCCTTACTTTGAGGAATTTAAGTATTAAACTCTTTTTTATTTAACAAAAGAGGCCACATCTTTACGTTCTCAGATGTTAAATGATCTTTATCAGGACAAAATGGATTAACTTAAGGAGAAATCGAATCCAAAATCAAGGTAACGAGACATTTAACTTCTCAGTACAGTACTCAGAGCTCGCCAGGATGTTACGTCACAGCACTTTTTAGAGTGTAAACAGGAAATGGGTTCAGCAAAGTGACTTCCTTTGAAAGATAAACATTTTGGGGAAGAAATGGCAACGGGTGACCTGATTAAAATAAAAGAACATTCTGAATCTCCATCGTGACGAGAAAGAAGTTTGTTGCTGCCATGAAAAGTAAAAACAGGATGTTTATGGAGACGCAGTCACCTGATATTTTAAAGGTTGAATAATGAATATCAAGTAGTAGCTGTTACAAATCGCTTCTCACACAGCCTTTTGAAGTATTTATACATAAAATATAGTCTGTATTGACATGAGCGACTTACTTTCTGCAGATAGAGAATGAGCCCTTTGAGGATGACATAGAAAGTCTTCCACCCTCTCTTCCCTCTCGGAGCTGAGAAGAGAAGACGTGTTAACGTTAAACGTAGTTTTGGACATGAGCCCCTTTAAGGAACTCCCCCCCGGGACCAGGACCTCAGGACGGGTTGTAACTCCTCAGAGAGGCCCTGTTCTGGGTGTCGTGCTTTCTGAAAGAACAGAAACTTTATCTGCTCATTTCTCATTTTTTTCCTCATTTCTATTTTTGTTACCTCATCCAAACTTTAGCTGTTTGTTTGTTTGTTTGATTACAGAAAACACTTGGTGACTTAAGGAAGAACCCATTACATTTTGGAGCAGATCTGAAACACGATCAATATCAAATTATTTTTTACTTATGGTAACGGCCTTTCTAGTTGTTTTGTTGATTCATGTTTGCCTTTTTTTAAACTACAAATCAAAAAACACAAATATATACAGGAATATAAAGGAACTCCACCGCGGTCACGTGACTTCACGTTAGTCTATAAAGGAACTCCACCGCGGTCACTTGACTTCACGTTAGTCTACAAAGGAGCTCCACCGCGGTCACGTGACTTCACGTTAGTCTGTAAAGGAACTCCACCACGGTCACATGACTTCACATTAGTCTATAAAGGAGCTCCACCACGGTCACGTGACTTCACGTTAGTCTATAAAGCAGCTCCACCACGGTCACGTGACTTCACGTTAGTCTGTAAAGGAACTCCACCACGGTCACGTGACTTCACATTAGTCTATAAAGGAACTCCACCACGGTCACGTGACTTCACGTTAGTCTATAAAGGAACTCCACCACGGTCACGTGACTTCACGTTAGTCTATAAAGGAACTCCACCACGGTCACGTGACTTCACATTAGTCTATAAAGGAACTTCACCGCGGTCACGTGACTTCACGTCTCCTCCACTAAGCTAAAGGAGGACTAGTGTTCTCGTGAGGATGTTTAAAAGCTTCTAAACTCACCAGAGGGTATTTACTGACCTATTTTATATCAGAGAACTAAATGTTTAAATCTCTAAAGCTTATTTCAGACATCTAAACCAGAAACACATTGACTTTGAGACTCATTTCTGGGTTGTAGGACTCTTGAGGTGAGATTGTTTTGCTGTTTCCTAGAACAAGAGTGAATTTTGAAAATATATATAAAAAACAAAAGCCTGAGTCTCCGTACTTCTCTTGCCGTCCGAGTCGGCGTGGACTTTGCGGACGAGGAAGCCGTTCTTGTACAGCAGCGATCCGGACGGATGCGTCTCGTCCGTTAGCGGCTTCCCAGCGCTGCCCTCCCCCTTCACCGGCCGGGAGGCGCTGGAGTCACACAGGCTGTCGCCCAGCTCCGAAAACGACTTCCGCAGCTCTTCCTCGTCACTAAGGAGACAAAAAAAATAAATAAATAACAAAAATGCGCATAAACAGATCCCATGGTGATCAACACTTATGTGTCATGTCTCATTAGCGAACACATCATCATCGTTCGTCCTGAGACTCAAGAGGGCCACAGATTTCACACACTGACTGGGAAACTTCTCTCTTTTCATACAGAACACATGAGTAATGTCCAACGGGCCACTGATGGCGTCTTGGCAGAAGCTCTTTGTTGCATCGTTAGAAACATGACGCTCTGTGTGAATGAAGCTGTGTGTGTGTGTGTGTGTGTGTGTGTGTGTGTGTTTCCTGAGAAGCCGTCTCCGCTCTCCTCCATCAAACAGCTAAAGAGTGACACCTCCTCCTCTCTAGTTCCAGCTTTGAGGAGAACAAACAGAGGAAGCATCGCTGTTACTCTTCCTCCTCCTCCTGAAGCCTCACAGAGGCGAGGAAGAGTAACAGTGATGCTTTACAGACTCTCATAAGCCCCACAATAACAGACTTTGTGATAAATGATACAATAATATGAACAATATTTAATTCAACTCCTCCTTTATTCTTATTCTTGCTATCAGATCCAAACTTTTTCTGTATACTTTTGACTTATTTCTTTATTGTTTAATGTTCTCTGAAACTTTATATTTTTTAATTATAATTCAGAAAATAAAAACTTCGTAATGATGTAGTTGTATACTGTAGCTGGACTATACAGGAGTTTGGCCCCATTTTGCTGGACATGGATCATATTATTTTATTTTATGGGATTTGGTTTCTGACATCTTTTATATTTATTTTCTTTCTGTTTTTATTTAGTTTTTCCTTCTATTCTAATTCTGTAGTTCGTGTGATGTAAACCAGTTAATAGTCATTACTCACTTTGTATTTGTGTTTTATTTACGCATTTAAATCACTGAGAATGTGCTGGTTTCTGAATCTGTATTCATGTTTTAATAATAACGGTGCTGATTTATTGGTTTTCGTACATTCGTCTCTGCAGTTAAAAGCTTCTTTATTTGTCACTACATTATGTTAAAGGACCAGCAATAACAATACTGTAACTATCGAATAACTTTACATTTACCGGTATATTGATGTTTAAAGGATGAATTATTATTGTTCGTCCTATTTTATATTTAAGTTACATCTGTGTCTATTGGACCTCTTATCTGATTTGAATGTGTTATATTTAATTTATTACTGTATTATTACCAGATCCGGGAACATCGCTGACAAACAGTCCAGGATGAGAGTGATAAACCGACATATACTTCATATTTCTTTGTATTACGGTGTGAAACTGGAGCACCGTCCTGTTCTCAGAACTCGTTCTTTATTGAAGTCAGTGTTCAGAGTTGCTGCTGGTGAACAGACGTTTGTGAGCACATCGTTAGAAACGGAGCCGTCTCTCTAAATGAGCTCTGGCTCGCTTCGACTGCAGCTTTATTTCTTTCTAACTACTCTCATGTGCACTCTGAGTGTGTGCGTGTATGTGTGTGTGTGTATGTATGTGTGTGTGTGTATTTCCCGCAAAACAAGTCATTTTATGTTTGTCTCTTCTAACTTTCTTCAAAAAGTGAAGAGTGAATATTTATGTTTTTGTTTGGATGATGACAGCCTTTTGTTATCTGTGTTCTAATCACATTTCATTAAGTTTGTATCTTAACTTCTTGTTTACTCCTTTTTTCATTCATATATTTTATTACTGTTTCTATACCAACTTTTAAATGTTTTAATGTCTTTTTTATTTTCATTTATATTCATGTCTAATAACCCTAACCCTCTTTTATTTCTTATGTGTTTGATTTATTCTTTTACTGTTTTATTAGCATTTTTAAACATTGTAAAATCCTTTTTTGTTTTTGTATTACTGCATATTTTTGATTTATTCATTATTGTTTTATTAGCATTAGTATTTATTTTTATTTGTTTGTTAAAATCCTTATGAACTTCTGTTTTTCTGTACAGTTAAATATTATTAAGTGAATATATATGACAGTATTGTAAGTATAACATTTGACACACAGACAATACTTAGTGTACATATTACTACAGCAGTGTTACTCTCCTCTATAGAACGCCTCACAGTGTGACTTTAGAGGGATTTGTCACATTAGGAGACGATGGACGCTTTAGGCAACAACGCCGAGCGTCTCTGCATCCGCCTGCTGAGGCAACACGGCAATTCCACCTGTTACCTCACCAGGCGGCACCCATGATAAAAAGTTCAGCCCGAAAATAGAAAAATGACTGGATGCCGAGCCCCCCCGAGACCACGCTATGAGTAACCAACAGTACATAACAGCAGTTAACCCCGAACAGGAGCCAGAGAGAGAGAGAGAGAGAGAGAGAGAGAGAGAGAGAGAGAGAGAGACCAATGAGCATCTAGCCTGTTGCCTAGTAACTGCTGAATCCCATTCTACACAGAGACAAAGTGGAGAGGAGATGGAGAGAGGGGGGGGGGGGGGGGGGGGGGGGGGGGGTGGAGAAGAGAGAGAGACAGAGAGACAGAGACAAAGCTGATCCTTCTCTGATGGCAGAACATTATCCACAATAATATGAGCAAGAAGAGGAGAACAAAGGAAAGGAAACAAGAGGAAATTGAAGAGGTTCAGAAAAGAAAAGATGGGGAGGAAAAGAGAGGAAAGGAAAGGAGGAGGAGAAAGAAAAAAAGAGGAAAGGAGAGGAAAGGAAACAAAAAAAACTGTAAAAGTGAAAGGAAAGGTTAAGAAAATATATTAAAGGAAACAATAAGAAAGAGAGCAGAAAGGAAAGCAAAAGATAAAGGGAACAGGAAAAGACACGTAAGGACAACTAAATAAAGGAAAGGAAATACAATGAAAATAAAAGAAAGAAAAGGAGAGGAAAGGAAAGAACGGAGAATGAAGCGGAAAATAAATTAAGAGAAATTAAATGAAAAGAGGGGAGAGGAGGAGATGAGAGGAAAATACAATGAAGAAAGAAACATATCGTAAAGAAAGGAAAGAGAGGAGGGCAGAGCAAACAAAGGAAACAAAAGAAAAGAAAAGAATGAAAAAGACCATCAAAGAAAAGAGAAGAAAACATAGACAAATATACAGGAAAGAAAAAAGAAAATAAAGGAGAGGAAGCAAAAAAAACAGAGAAAAGAAAGACAAGGAAAAGAACAAAGAGAAAGAAAAGAAAGGAGAGGAAGGAGGAGAGAAAAGGTGTGTTGATGCAATATGAAGAAAGGACTGAACAGGTGGACCCGTTGGAAGAAATGCATGCTGGGTTCTTTGTGCTGATGTTGCTGCTTCAGTGTAGCAACAAGAGAAAGAAGACATGAATTCATCCTCTCTGGTGCTCAAGAGGCTGAATATAAACGATGAAACCACAACTGATTTAAGCTAAAGATGCTTTAATTTGAGAGTTTTTTCATTTAACTGAAGAAGACAAAGTTCTCAGATATGAAATGTTTGAGAAAAGCAGGAAAATTGTCAAAATTGACAACATTTTGATTGAAATCTGGAACTATCTAATTAAAGTTTTAGCAAACATCAGGATTACTTCAGTACTCATGTTACAGTACATTTACTCAAGTACTGTACTTAAGTGGAATTGAGGTACTTGTACTAGTAATAGTAGTAATTCCATGTCATACTCCATACTTCTACTCCCCTACATGTCAAAGGGAAATATACTTTTTACTCAACTACATTCATTTTTTGAACGCAGGACTTATAACGGAGTATTTTCACACTGTGGTATTACTACCTGTAGTTCTTCCACCACAGTCTATCGCCACACAAAGCACTGATGTACTAATATTTAATATGACATGACGTAGGTGGACGGCTCACTGATGATTGGCTCCATTTAAAATGGACGAGCAGGATGAAAGGAATAACAGAGCAGATGGGGTTTGTCCGTCTGTCCGTCTCTCATCTCATACATGGTTCTCTGAGCTGCTCTCATCACATCATACATCTACGCCCCGTTTATGTCCACAGATCTCCCTGCATCTCCGACTTGTTGCGTCTCTCTTTCGGCGCAAGATGCCCACCATCGCCATCACCACCACCACCACCTCTCTCCCTCCGCTCTACACCCCCGCTGCTGAATGAGGAAGCATGTGTGTGTGTGTGTGTGTGTGTGTGTGTGTGCGTGTGTCTTTGTTTGTGTACCAGTGGATAACATGTGGGTGAATCCAACTGCACCGCCGAGAGAGTGGCCGAGTCTTTTTCTCTGCGGGGGTGTGAAACAACATCCACCGGCGGGTTTTGCGTTGTGTTAAAATACTGCGTGCTCACACACACACACACACACACACACACACACACACACACACACACACGCACCTGTTATGAGGTGCACAAGCCAGATTTCACATGTACAATTTGTATTCATGGTTTGTTTTAGTGTCTGAAATCACACCTCTATCACAGAAGGCCTTTGACTGGACTAGAGCGCCTCAATCTGGGTGTAAATTAGTAAATCAATGCTGGGCCGCTCTATAGAATAGAATAGAATAGAATAGAATATGTATCTATGAAACTGTATTTCTTCTTTGCAAACATAATTCAGTTTTTCTTTTTATTTATTCTTTTTGATACTTTTGTTTCATTTTATTGCCCATTTAAATTTGGGCCGTTGCGTTACGTCGCTGCGTTACGTTGCGTTACGACGACAACTGCATTTTATTGTGCAATTCTGAATTGGTGACAAATAAATCCTCATATTGTAAAACAATATTCTAATAAAATCTATTTCATATGATTCTTGACTCTTGCTGTACTCGTTGTACAAAGACTAATTCCTTGTATGTGAAAACCTTTGGCAATGAAGCTGTTTCTATTTCTGGATATAATAGAAGACAACACACACTATTTTTCCTGTGATTACAAACTGCAAATTGCAAACGCACAAACTAACCATGCAAACATTTACCAGCGAGACTTGCACAAGGGCAAACAAAAGCAGCATTCGCATCCTCTGAATCAATACGGAGCTGAAGTGTATCCGTCACAAGGTGTCCGTCCTTGATCTTCATCTCAGTGAACAGAGTCAGCGAGTGAAAAAATGTCCTCTGTGTGATGAAATATGCATCAACTAAGCAAGTAGGCTCTGCTTCCACATCAGGGGTTTTCAAAGCTGAGACAGAATTCACTCAATGATCCGGCTGAAACATTCAAAAATGAACTCTCCCAGACCTGCATCTCTTAATCTGTAATTCATGTTTGTTGGGAGGTGGAGTCTCCCTTTGCTCTGTGGTGTTTACGTGTCTAACAACTGACGTCTTGTCCGTCCCCGCGCGGCCTCTTACGCGGCGGCGGTGTTTAAATAGCTGTCTATATGTCAGCGGACATGTTTGAACTGGATTGCCGGCCTCTCTGTGGATCTCCTCGCTGATCCGCTCCTCTGACCACTTTTTGCTCGGCTGTTTCGGGAGCGCTGCTGCAGCTATTTCTGGAGCGGTAGTGGGAGGCTGTGGTCACACCTTCTCACAGGATGCAGGTAGAGAGACATTTAAATTGAGTGTCTCTCTCTTTGACAATGTCTCTTTGTGTTCTCTTCTCCTTCATACTCACAAGCACAGACGCCAGCGCACATACAAACACATTTGTGCATACAGTATACATCCATCTGTTACTGTGTGTGTGTGTGCTGAACACAGGGAGGAAAGAGCAATGCGGTAGCTATGGAGTCGTATCCATGGTGCCGTAACTATGGCAACAAAGCTTGGAAAGCTGGCGACTTAATTGGCGTCTCCGAGTTGCTCCGGAGCCGTGATCCAGAATAGCAACCCTTGACACACTAATGTTTCCTTCCACATGGCAGACAACGCTCACGTCATTAATGAGGTTTCTAACAAGTTAATCTAATCAATATCCCTTATTGTTTCCTGCCCTTCAGGACAATGTGTGTGTGTGTGTGTGTGTGTGTACATGTGTTTCAGTTAATCATTGACGGGGAAAAGGACAGAAACAGAGTCACAGACGAGGGGAAAATTAAATAAATTACGTTTAAGGACGGAGACGACAGGAATATTGTGTTTTTTTCATGCACCGGTCAATTTTGAGAGTCTTATTTTAGACTAGTGGAAAGAAAAACATCCAAAAATACACATTTAAGTTTTTATTTTACTACTTTGTCTGTTTGTGTCTATAGATTTCTCCTAAATTCACCAAAAGTTGCCATTAGACAATTCCTCATTTGCATATTTAAACAGAACGTTTCAGAAAACTTCTATTACAAAAAATGGTGGTGAGGTTTCATGGTGATATCATGAGTTCATGTGTTCACCTGTAGAGTCTTCTTAATGTGAGTGATGA